CTAATTTTCTTCAGCACTTTTTTTTTTTTTTTTTTTTTGAGACAGAATCTCATTCTGTCTCCCAGGCTGGAGCACAGCGGCACAATCTCAGCTCACTGCAACCTCCACGTCCCAGGTTCAAGCAATTATTCTGCCTCAACCTCTGGAGTGGCTGGGATTACAGGTACCCACCACCATGCCTGCTAATTTTTATTTTTAGTAGAGGTAGGGTTTCACCATGTTGGTCAGGCTGGTCTGGAACTCCTGATTTCAGGTGATCCATCCGCCTTGGCCTCCCAAAGTGCTGGGATTACAGGTGTGAGCCACCATGCCCATCCTGAAATAGCTTCTGTTTTAGTGTGTACACTCAGCCACTGGAAGAATATCTGAGAAGCAGAAGATGAGTATGACTAATGGCTTCCATGTATTATAGTTGGGGAGGCAAGTACAGCGAGAAACGTTCAGAGGAGCCAAAGAAACGAAGCAGTCATGGACAGTGAGGGAGGAATAGAGAAAGGGAGTAGAGGGAGAAAGTGAGGCTGAAAGAAACAGAGTGCAAAGAATTCGCAGCCAGAGAGAGAGAGAGAGTAGTGAGGCAGTCAACACCAAGAAGTAAGTTAAGACAGAAGAGGCGCAGCATCCAGTGTGGACAGTGCATGTGTATTTATATATTCTGTGCTATATCCAAAGTGCTTTCATACTTTCATAATAATGCCTGAGGTCTTGCACCTGTCAATTACTTTCAGATGTCTAAGAATGGAATTGAACTCACTCAGAATGTTAAAAAAATAAAAATGAAAACAGCTAATAGACCTTTTAACAGAGTTCAGTCTTTATCAAAATTCATATCTCTGCGGGAGCTCTCAGAAGTACACTTCATTCCTTTTTCTCACGGGTATAAAGTTAAGTGTTTCCTCTATTACAGACAACCAGCCCCCGGTGATTCAAGTATTGCAAGACAAATTACAGACATTTTATGGTGAAAACTTTGAGTATCAGTTCGTGGCCTTCGATCCGGAAGGTTCTGACATCCACTTTACGTTGGACTCTGGTCCTGAAGGAGCAAGTGTTTCCTCTGCAGGGCTTTTTATGTGGAAAACAGAGTTACTAACTCCCCAACAATTTACTCTACGCCTTAATGATGACTGCGATGCTGAAACTAGAGTCACAATTGAGGTAATCTTTATAATTACATAAGTGTCACTAGATTCTTTTGCAATTTTAACAACTTTATTTGAATTTAAAATATAAGCCATATTCCTAGTTGTAAAGAGCAACAAAGTTATTAAACATTGTATGGAAAATTAAACTGCCAAAACTTTTGACTATTCTTTGTAAGAATTTAAAACCTTAGAGAGTCTCAAGCCCAGAAGCACAGATATAAATTAATAATTTCTTTACTGTTTTATTTTGTACTTCCCTGTAACAAGGAGAAACTCCACCTTCATGAAAGATGTGTGATTAATCTAAGATTGATAATTATACCCTCTTCCATCAAGTGAAAGGGCCTGAGATGTTGAATTAGAAATCAAGATTATAAATACGACTTGAGATAACTAATTGGCAACTATAATTCCTTTCTTTATTGGCTTTTCTTTTGATTATGTCAGTCATGAGCACTAAATACTTACAAACCCTTTATGTGTCCATTGTTTGTTTGAAACTTGGAGCACACTTTTACACTGAAGTAATATTGTGAAGAGCAGCTGCGTTCTATGCCATATTAACCCAGTAGTTCAGGAGATCATTTGCTCTCTACGTTTGTGAATAACCCAGGTGATTAACTGCCATCCACTTTAATGATTTTTTTTTACGTTGTTCTACTTGCATGACAGAAATTGATCATCTTGTAACTTTTTTTTTAAGACAAGTTATCCTTAGTATTATATTGTGGTTTTGCACCTGGGAGTGGGCGTAATTGCCTTATTAAACTATTTTTAATATAATTTTATATTACGTGTGTGTGTGTGTGTGTGTATATCAAATATAAGTGATTTGGTCATACTTGTACATAAACACACATGCCTGTCATGATTTCTGCGGCATAAACGGAAGATAATTTTATTGAAAAATAAGACATTTCCTTTTTTTTTCTTTTGTAGGTGACTGTGAAGTCTTGTGATTGCTTGAATGGTGGATCGTGTGTGTCTGATAGGAACTTTCCTCCAGGGAATGGTGTGTACCTGTGTGTCTGCTTGCCTGGCTTCCATGGTAGCCTTTGCGAAGTCAACACTAGTGGGTGCCAATCCAACCCTTGTGGTCTTGGCAGCTGTATTAGTGGTTTTCACAATTATTCCTGTGATTGTCCACCTGAGCTCAAAGGTAAGATTTTGCTCCTCATAACAAATTAGAAAGAAAAACTCATTGAAACACACATCTACAGATCACTCAAGCAAATATGTGGTCCTAAAGATTTTAGTACACATTTTTACAATTTTAATAATAGTTATTACAAATATAATTACTATCCATATCCCTTGTTCTTGTAAATTGTAAATTCCATACACTATTACAATTTTGCTAATTTTTATAACTGTTATAGCAATGTAGGAACCTGTTTTGCAGGTTTCTAAACATTCCTACCTATAGTTGGTAGTCAGAAGTGTATTAAAATGTATTACTATTAAGATATAATACGGAAAAATAAAGGAGTTATGCCAGAGAAAATACAAAAGTTACCACTTAAGAGAGATTTTACTGATAATTCATTGACTTAGAAATATCATGGTAAAAAGTTGAAATCAAATGAAATGTTAGCATATTTACTAACTCATTAATTGTCCTAAAATGTGTGATTACAGAAATATATGACTGCCAACCTTTAATTTCCCATGGCTTCTTAAAAACTCATATGAGTACTTTCTTTACGTTTAATAGATGTAAATATTAAGTAAGTAAATATATAGTTAATGAGCTGATATTTTTCTTGAAGACACCTATTTTAACAATACAATAGAACTGAGCAGAATATTTATGTGTCTTCTAATTTTCTTCAGCACTTTTTTTTTTTTTTTTTTGAGGCGGAGTCTCGCTCTGTCACCCAGGCTGGAGTGCAATGGCATGGTCTCAACTCACTGCAAGTTCTGCCTCCTGGGTTCACGCCATTCTCCTGCCTCAGCCTCCCGAGCAGCTGGGATTACAGGCACCTGCCACCATGCCTGACTAATTTTTTTTGTATTTTTAGTAGTGATGGGATTTCACCATGTAGGCCTGGACGGTCTCGATCTCCTGACCTCGTGATCTGCCCGTCTCAGCCTCCCAAAGTGCTGGGATTACAGGTGTGAGCTGCCACGCCCCACTTCTTCAGCATTTTAAAACAAAAATTTTATCATTTGGAACTATGAATATTGGTCTCTTTTCTACTCCACTGTAGACTATATTTGAAAGAATTCAAATGTTGATTTCTCATAAATTTTAGTATAATAAGTGCTACCATCCATATATGACTGAATTTATTCATTCAGATGAGTTGTTAAGCATTTCAGAGTACCACATCAACTCAAAAACTTTGACTAAGGACAGACTGACTTTCCTAACATAAACAATTTCCGTAACTAGACTAAACAATTTGGCCTTAAGTTGAACAACCATCCTAAATAACTTTTAAAAATTACTGACTTTTTAAACAAAATTCGAATTATTGCTGTAATATGAAACTTTTTGCCTCAAATATTAATGGAAATCTTAACTCATCTTATTTACAAAACAAAATTGTATGTACTTGAAAGGTCTGGTTTAATATTAAATTGAATATAATTAGTGACTTTATATTTGAGTATACAGTAAGTTTTAAAAATAGCATACTTCTATCCTCATAATGCATAGCAGCCCTTTTGGGGTTAGAAGGACAGATATGAAAAGTAGAAGCTATATAATAAGCCAATTGGACATACAATGTTTTTCAAATTAAATAATTTGAGCTCTTGACCTATATTTTGTACAGGCAAAAATTGCCAGGAGGATGTTGATGAGTGTGACTCCAAGCCTTGCTTTCAGGGAGTAGAATGCCTGAATACCTTTGGCTCCTATCATTGTGGTTCATGTCCAAAAGGATTTTATGGGGATGGAAAAATATGCCATGGTAAAAGTTCTTATTTTCTGCTATGAGATTTTTTTTTTGCTGCATTTAATTATTTTTTAATAGCATAGTTTCTGTTTTTGACTCATGTATTTATTCAGTGTAAATGAATTAAGTGTCATGCATTGAACTAGATACAAAGGATGCAAAAATATGTAAGACATGTCCTCTGACTTAATAAGTAAAGTGTAACAGCAAGGAATATGACTAGTAATTACACAGTACAATAAAGTGTTCTGTGTCTTTTGATAGAAATCACAAAAGGGCTAGTAGGAATACTACAAAGGGAATCTTATCTACCTGGAGAAATAGTGAAAAACTTTTAAAAAAGGAAGTGACTAGACTATACTAGACACATGAGAACTGAATCTGATAGATCAAGAGAGAGAAAGGCATTCCAGGCAAAAGCAACAGCAGGAGCAAAGGGACAGAAGCAGGTAACATCACAGCACTCTGGGCAACCATTGTGAATAGTCAGTGTGCCTGGAATATAGGAAGAAAGGGGGGCTGCTACAAGAGTTAGAGCTAGAGAGGTAAGCAGTAGCAAGACCACATAAAAACCATGGAGACTCCCTTAAAATTTTGAAGTAGGAGAGAAACACGATACAGTTTACCATGTGAGATAGTTTAAGAAGTAGTGTGTAGGATGGACCACTTGTGGGTAAGGAACTGTGTAAATCTGAAGGTGGGAAGAGTTAAGAAAATATTTCAAATATATAGGAAAAAGATGAAGATATACTAACCTAAGATGAGGTAATGATGAAAGGGATACTAAAGAAGCAAGTTGATTGTACTTGGTCAGTGACTGGGATTAGTATGATGAGAGAAAGAGATTCATTAAGTTTTAAGTGTTTGATTTTAGTGAATGGGTGTGTACAATTTGCATTTACATTGCTATGGATGAATCTGCGTCCCCCCAAAATTTATGTGTTGAAGCCCTAACTCCAGGTGTGGCTATATTTGGAGAAAGGAAGTAATTAAGGTTACATGCGGTTATAAGGGTGGAGTCCTGATCCCATAGAATTAGTATCTTTATGTGAAGAGACACCAGAGAGCTTGTGATATATGGACAGATCAAGAAAGCAGCCATCTTCAAGCCAGGAAGAGAGCCTTCACCAAAAACTCAACCAGCCAGTCTGATCACTTTGATCTTGGATCATTGAACCTCCAGAATGGCAAGATAATTTCTGTTGTTTAAGCCTCCCAGTCTGTGGTATTTTCTTATGGCAGCTCAAGCTGACTAAGACATGCAAGCAATGTATTGGAAGAACAAGTTGTTTTGGAGGGGAATTATAATGAATTCAGTTTGGATGCACAGAAACTTTTACTATGGAATATCCATGTGAGCTCAGAAAGGAGGATTAACTTGAAAATACAATTCTTAGAATCATCAGCTATGTCATAGAATTGTTCAGGGAAAACCCTTAGATTTAGAGGAAAGTGGACAAAAAAAAAATTGGTGAGCATCGACATTTTAAAAGATTAAAAGAGAAAAAACTAAGTTACAGAAGACAGTGTTGAAGATCCATACCTTGGGTTTAATTAAGTGAATGGGACCCTCTTTGATGACATTATGTACTAAGGAAGCAGCAGCATCTTGTGCTTCAAATTGGGCTGAGCCTGCCTAGCCCCACAGATATGAGCAACGCAGTATAGGATGGTAAGGGGAATTCTCTACTTCTGCTTCTCACATTTACTCCTGAATATCCCATCCCTAATATTCACACCTTCCACTCTAATAAGTGATCTAGCAGTATTCTTTCCCAGACAGGCCCATTTCTTCAATAAAAACTTCATTCAGTGGCATTTAAGAGAAAAACAAGTTGAACCAAATCCCTTTACACATGAGTGACTAAATACGTTTCTTAACATTGTCAGCGTCATTTGTGTATTGTAGGAAGGGGCTTATTAATACAAAAGGATTTTTGGTTGTTGGTTGTGTTTTCTTAGTTTTATGATAGGCACCAGAGTCAATGAGTATCAACATGAATAAAGCACAGTGATTCTTGAGGTTATTGCTAACTAGTGGGGCACATAAGAATCAATAGCGTGAAGGACAAAGTTCTGTTGGCGAACCCAAACGGGCAAAATTGATTGGGTGGGTGAATGCAACTGAAGGAAAGTGCATTAGCTTGGGCTGCCATAACAGACTGGGGGGCTTAAACAACAGAAATTTATTTTCTCACATTTCTGAATGTTGAAAGTTCAAGATTAAGGTGCGAGTAGGGTTGATTTGTGGTGAGATATCTCTGGTTTGCAGACTGGCTACATTCTTACCAGGTCTTTCCTGCATGTGTGGTATCTCTTCCTCTTTTTATAAGGACACCAGGATTAGGGTGCCACTCTTATGATCTCATTTAATCTTTTACCCCCTTAAAGACTCTGTCTCCAAACACATTCACATTTAGGAGTAGGGATTTAACATATGAATTTTGGGGGGACACAATTCAGTACATACCAGAAAAGTGGGCAGAAGAGATGACATTTAAGCTACTTATTTAATCTAATTTGCAGATTTCCATCCAAGTGGCATTCGTATTGTATGTTCTTATTTGTGGTGCTTTGGTTGTATAATAGTTTAAGTCTCATCTGTTTTTCTTGTTCTCATTTACAGTTGAAACACAGTTTTCAAATAAATTTACTACACACACTGTGGTTCTCACAAGATCTGATAAAAGTATAAATAAGGAAGAGGATGATAAAGATGCCCAAGGGAGAAAGAGGCATGTTAAGCCAACAAACAGAAATGCCCTTAGTAAGTAATGGTCATAGTTAAAATCTAATGACAAGTAATTCCTCTTGTTTGTTTTCTAAAAGACCAACATATTTATTCCTCAGGTATTTTTATTTTTAGAAAGATCACCTAAAGGTTATATAATGCAGTTTAAAATTTATTCCTTCTCTTGCTAATCTATTCAATCATCTGGGTTATATTTTAGAAAAAAATGCATTTATGTACTCTAATGGACAAAGCATCGTTTGAAGTGATTTCGGAGAAGCTAATGGTTGGAAGTGACTATTTCAAACTTATATTTTATAAATCCCTGGAAATTTGTCATCCAGTATCTGCTCAAACCCTAAAAGTGATAAGAAGTTCACTGTTTCACAAGGCCTTACCTGTGTCATAGTGCTTTCTTAATAGCCCTCATTTGGTTCAATCATTCTGTGATTGTCTTCATAAAGTTCTTGTACATTTCACATTGACTTTCTTTACACCTTTGCATTCTGTATTATCAAATGTTATTGTGAATGGATTATCTCTCAAGATATTTTTTATTCCTGGAACCTAGGAAATGTGTCTTGATTTTCATATTATTCCTGTGTTGTCATGTTACTGAATACTCTGATGGTTTATAGTGGATTCTCTTTCTTGATTTTATTGACAGACAATAATCGTTTTTTGCAAATAGGGAGTTTTGTCTGCTATTCTTATTTACTTTCTAGTCTCAATAGTGAGATTTAATTTATACTTATAATGTGCCAGCACTAGGCAGATATTTTTTGTATCTTACCTCATTAAATCCTCATAATAGCTATTTACAGTAACTGTTATTACTTCTATTTTACAGATGACTAAACAGAAACATAGAAGGGTTAAGTAATGTGTTCAGATTATGGAGTTTTAAACTACAGAAGAGAGTTGAGCCTGAGCAATCTAACTGAAGAGACCAGGGTCTCAAACTTACACTCTTATTGCAGTGTAGTGTACCTCTAGTACAAAGCCTGTAGGGAAGGGAGGGCTTTGTTAATGGTATGGGAATTCTTCTCTGGTTTCACTATTGACTATGATATCACTGTAGTTTCTGCTTGATACCCTTTATCCAGTTAATGAATTTTCCTTTTATTAGTTGCTTTTCCAGAATTCCTAGTTTTAAATCAGGAGTGGGTTTTAAATGTTATCAAATGCTTTTTTAGCATCATTTATTACTTGCTATAATTGCAGTTAACAAAGTTTCCTTAGACTAATTTTCTCACAATATTTAAAACCAATAATTAATACGTATTATATTTCAACATCATTATATATTTTCCATATTGTCTTTATGCAATTATATCATATAATTATGTTAATAGATACAAGTCTAATCCTGATATATTTTCCCATAAACGTACTGCTACTTTTGATTTGCTAATATTTCATTTGAATTTTTTATATAATGTCACAAATATATTGACTATATGATTATTCCACTTTAATAAAGTGTTTATAGAACTTTTCATCTTTTTTTGCACATTGCAGCAGTTTTGAAAACACTGTTCCCTTATCTGTTTGGTAAAATTTTTTCATTAGATTATCGCATCATTTTGGGTAGTAAGTTTAGATTGTTTTCCTATTTCCATCAATGTTTTACCTCCTCTTTAGTCAATTTAATCAATTTAATCATTTGTATTTTGCCAGAAAATCATTTGTCACATTTAGATTTCAAATTCTTGTATACAATTACATGTAATATTCTTGTATAATTAAAATTGTCTTCTTATATGTAGCTTTTTCACTTTCCTCATCTCCAAAGTTGTTTAGTTATATTTTTCCATTGTTACGGTTTTTGATTTTTCCTAGACAGAAGTTGCCAAACGTTATCTATTTAATTGGGATAAATTTTTTCAAATAATCATTTAGATTTGTCTTTCTGCTAATTGCTATCCTTTTGCTCTCCTTTTTTATTGATTTGTAGGGTTACTTTATATATTCTGGCCACCTTGTATATTCAGATCCCATACATAATCTGTACTTGAAATTATTGTGTTTATCTCTGCGGTTTGCCTTTATCTGTGTTCTGTTTTTTATGAAAGCATTAAATTTTATATAATCAAGTAAATATATTTTTAAATATTTTATTTATAGCTTTTTAAATAGATACAAGTCTAATCCTGATATGTTTTTCCATAAATGTACTGCTACTTTTGATTTGCTGGTATTTCATTTAAATTTTTTATATAATGTCACAAATACATTAAGGATCTCTCAAAGTTTAAGTTATAAATATGAACTCTTAAATTATCTTTTAGAGCATTTATTATTTTATATTTTACATAGTTTTTAATTCCTTTGAAACTTGTTACTTTATGATATGAAGTAGAGGTCCAATACTTTTTTTTCTTCCAGGTGAATAGCAATTATGTAGTACCATATATAAAATAAGCCACATTGAATTTAAATATCATATTTTTATTTAAAATCCCTTATATGTTGAGATATATTTCTGAGTTTTCTATTATGTTATTTTCTAATAGTCTTTTTCTATACCAATAATACATTGTTTTGATTAGTGTGGCTTTATACTATATTTTAATATCTGTAAGGCCAATATCTTCTCATGATTCTTGTATTCTGTAATTTTTTTTCTATCTCTGATATATACCTTCATAGGAACATCAAATCATTACATTTCAAAAAAAAAATGTACTTTACTAACAGGCATTGGCTAACATATGCTCTTTTCTTACTTTCTTCAATGGTAATTTTTGCAATCTGCAGTTTCAATTCTTCTCTGCTTCTTTGTCCAATTCTCACAATAAACAGATAATAAAAACTCACCTAAGGAGAAGGTTCACGTAAAGCAATTTGGTTCTGGAAGGAGTCCCTTCTGTGTACAGAGGCTGAGGGAAGGGGACACTGACTTGGCCCAGATCATCTAAAGCAGGTCTTCTGGGGAGTGCTAGTCCAGGACCTTTTCTGTATTTTTTTTTTTTTTTTTTGACACTTAATTGTGCTTACCTTATTGCCCTTATTTATTTTTGGGGCTATATTTGGTGCACTCTTGTTTCTATTAGTCTGAACCCACATACTTTTTATGTTTCAGGAAGTCCTCACATTTTTAAAAAATCTTTTATTGCACTTGTTGCCAACTATGTTAAGGATTATTTTTGTTGTTTTTTGGTTCATTTTCTTCTATCTTTTTCTGGTTTTGATTTGATTTGGCTTGGCTTTCTCTGTTTTTATATTTTAACACCTTTGAGAATTGCTTTGCATGAAAACAGTGCAAAATTAAACCCTAAATTTGCAGTAGAAAGTATAACTAGAAAAACATACCTAATCACTGCTTAAAATGTGTCCTTACTCTAAAACTCATTAGATTTTTCGATACCAAATAAGTAAAAATGTGTTATAAGGAAATGAAGTATTTTGGCAGGGAGAAATAAACAATGACACAGCCTTCCCCCCAAAAAAAGACATGTAAAAATATTTTAATTTCTAGTTGAGCAATCAAGAAAGATAGGGGCATAAAATCTCATTTTATCACATTGGGAACATTATTAGAACCGTGGTTCCTTGCCTCTCATATATAATAGCATTTATATAATTTTCCAATTTTTACTTATACATTTAGCTCTGTCTTATTTACAGGCAAAATTACTTACTCCTCTGTGTTTCTGTAGGTTTCATTTTATTTTTGTCACTCTTGTAGTAGTTCTCAATGATTGTTTCATAGTGAATGGCTCACATGTCTGTATCCTTTACAATATTCTAAATTGCTCAGGAATAGGGGCTGTGCTTTCCTTTGTTGTGAGGCTCATGTGTATGAGGTGATCAACAGGTGTTTGTTAGCCATTTCAAAATCTTAATAAAATAAATTATCGTACTTTGACTTTTATACTATTTAACATTCTGGGTTATTTTGTGTATCCCAAAAGATTATAAGCTCCTTGAAGGCAGAAACAGTGTCATGATTTCTTATTAGTACACAGCTCCTACTACAGTGTTCAACAGTGTAGATACTAAATGAAGGAATGAATGAATTAATGTAAAATATTTCATGTAGCAAAGACTATTTATAAATGCTATTGACTCACATTTTTTATTTTTTGGTTGTGTAGGTATAAATTTTCAGCCACCATCAACAGAATATTCACTAATTGGTACAAGATTTACTCCCACTCCCGCTACTGTCAAAAAGTTATTGAGCATGACTAATAACATCTCCCGCTTATCACTAAAATTAATTACAGCCCAAATGGATAATTCAGTAAAGGCCGTTTCCCATCAGATATCAGATTTTGAGCATGTGGATCGTAGTCTCAGTACAAATCTCAGTCTGGGTGAGTTGGAAGTTTCTATGAAGAAAAGCAGCTCTTTAAACATGAACCCAAACAGCACCCATGGCAAAGCAAAGGATGATATCCAGAACAACATCCAAACAGAGATGGGAGGGTATAATTCTCAAATTAGCAGGTCTTCCCAAGATTACACACAGTATGAAGATGAGTTTTTGTCGTCTATTACAAAAGCAATCACTATTTTGCCAGAAAAGTTTGGATCAAACAAAATATCACCTTGTGCTGACTCACCTTGTTTTGTTGGTGTTTCCTGTGTGCCAAGCTCAGATGGTCACTTCAAATGTGGACGCTGCCCCTTTGGGTATTATGGAGACGGTGTCAATTGCAGAGGTAGTATGAAACTCTTCAGAAGATACAAAGAAAAGTATCTAATTCAAGTTTAAGTTATTACAAAAATATGCTTTTCTATTTACTAATTTCTATTTATTCCGCTTTGTTCATTTGTTTCCATTTATTTTATTTATTAATCATTTATACTGTATTCTTACCACATTTTGAAAGAACAAAGGTGGGTTTTCTGAGTTATTTATTAAAATCGTGTTAATATTATAGAGTATTACAACTATATAATATATATTACAAATATATTGGAGTACTTTCTGTGTTCCAGGGTCTGTGGAAACATTTTGTATCAACTGTGTCATGTAATCCACATGAACCCACATATTGGGCAGTATTTTTCCCATTACACAGATGAGGAAACAGAGCTTTGGAGTGCCCACTGAATTTCCTAGCATTAACCAGCTAAGCAGATAAAAGATGTCAATATAGATCTGATTAACACTGTGGTCTGTGTTCTTTTCAGCTCACGGTGGGCATTTAGCACTTCAAATTCTAATTCTGGTATATTTGCTTATTTGCATGAAGTAGGTTTCTCTGTAATCTTTCCAGCTCTTTTAAGATTACAGCAAGTCATATATCACTTTAATTTTAAAGGCATTATTTCTATCTTCTCACAAATATTAACATTGCTTTCTCTGATGAAAATCAACTTTTTGGCTTTGACAACATAAAAGCTGTCTTGTGTTATTGTTTTGCTTTGTGTTTTGGCTTGTTTGAGACTAAACTTAAGCAAGAGAGTTCTTGTGTTCTTGTGTTCTTGTGTTCTCAGTATTATCTAAAGGGGCTATTAGTTAACTATTCAAATTTCAGAGACTTTTGCTTCTATTATAACTAAGTCTGTGGCAATATGTATGTTCTGTTTTAGTAATCAACCTTTTTTTCTTTGATTTTTTTTTAGCCATTTGTAGATATCCATGTGGAAAAAGTAGGGAGTGTGTTGCCCCAAACATCTGCAAATGTAAACCTGGTTACATTGGTTCTAACTGCCAAACTGGTAGGTAACATCATTCATTAGTTTGCATGATACATTTTATTTGGTAATTGATATGTCTAAAACCTGGGCTTTATTTTATACAGCTCTTTGTGACCCTGATTGCAAAAATCATGGAAAATGTATTAAGCCTAACATTTGTCAGTGTCTTCCAGGACATCGTGGAGCAACCTGTGAGGAAGGTGATAATTCAAATTAAAAATCAAATATAAGCCTAAAATATAGCATAATTTTCTTTAAAAATCGTTTTACAAGACAATTCAGTTTTACTGTGTATATACTAAAATATTCTTATCAAAGCTGGTATAGGACTCTACATTTTAAAATACTTATTAAACATAATTTATTCAAAGATTCTAAAGAATTAAATTTCTTAAATCAGAGATTGAAGGAGCAATAGATTATTTGTGATTAGTAAAATTATCCTCTGAAATGATTTGAGGTTTAGTTATAAGGTACTATATATCTACAAATATTTTAGCTTCAAGCAAAAGACAGCTATTGAATGACCTACCAATTATGGTTCAAAGAAAGTGTTAAATGCCAAATAACTAGAAAATGTAAAGTAGTAAGAAGAAATCTAAAATGTGAATTCTTAAAAATGCATCTATAGTCATATAATTGCATTGCTTTGGTTTAAATCTTAAGTGGAAAATGTATGAAATAGCGTTCCTAAAGTGGATGATACTTTAAAGAAATAAGTTGTTTATTTTAAAATAATATGTGAAAAGATAGTTTGGTAGATGGTGCATATAATTATGAAGAAGCTGAGAGCCATGTTAAATGTTTTTATGGCAAGGCAAACTACAAATTAAAGTAAATTTAGGGTGAAATAACAGAAACAGTCAATATAAATGGCATACGAAAATAACTATAGAACTATAGGAAAGCTCTATTTGTAAGGCAGGAATACGTAAGTTCAAATCTCACTTTTCAGAAGAGGGCTAAGGTCCTGTATTTCCTTCCAGTTAACAAAAAGTTTTATTAATCAAAGCATGCTGCTGATTTGTAAGTGTTTCCAGTGTGAATTAATATGGCCAGTCCCACAGACCTAAATTTTGTAGTAAAAGAGAACTTAATGTATTATAAATTGCTATTACAACAAGATTTTATTGTGACAGTGCTTTATAAATATAAACTGACTTTTTAAAAATTAAGAACTGACTTAATAACATAATCTGTTTCTGCAGAACATTGTAACCCACCTTGTCAACATGGTGGCACATGCTTGGCTGGGAATCTCTGCACTTGTCCTTATGGTTTTGTAGGACCAAGGTGTGAAACAAGTAAGCAAAACTCTCCTGCTGTCTGATATAGTGAAACTGCTTCTTTGAATAGTTGGTGGCCTTAATGCTACATGAAATGAACCCAAACTCTAAGTAAAGAACACACATTGATGATTGATGACAACAGTTACCGTCCTGCATAGCACTGGCATCAACCACAGTGGCCATTACTAAGATAAAGAAGTTTGTTTTGGGAAGTAACGTCACTCTGATGCTCTTCATGACCTTTCTTTGAGAAAACAGGAATTCAAATTTGTTAAATTGCATGTAAATTTCTTTTTAAATTTATGTCTATGACTGCTTTCATCGATAACTAATACTTTTCCCAAATAGTCAAGTCTTGTTTACCACTTGGCTCAATGGTTTTCTATTTTTTCCATCTCTATTAACCAAAAATGAAATAAAATAAAATAACTGAAAGTGAGAATCAGAAAGCATTTTAAACCCAAATATAAATTATATTTTAGCTTTCTCTGTGATCTTATTAATTAGCAGATGTGATTGGCATTTATGAGCTAGCTAGATAAAAACCAACAATATGACTACTCCAAGCCTAATCTTTCTTTTTTTTTTATTCTATGATCTCAGTGGTTTGTAACAGGCACTGTGAAAATGGAGGCCAGTGTCTTACACCAGATATTTGCCAGTGCAAACCTGGCTGGTATGGACCCACCTGTAGTACAGGTAAAATGGGAAATATTTTCAATGAACATGTCAATTAAAAGTTATAATATGCCAGTGTCCTGAAGACGTGCACCTAAGAAACGTAAAACTGACCTGACAAGACAGGAATGAAGTTGTTATTTCAGACAGATTTTTAAAACTCTTTCATCTTCATTCCCTTTGTTTTTGTGTTGAACCATATGGTGTCTTGCAGCTTTACTGTTATCTTATCCAACCAATACTGTTTTTGCTTTTATATTTCCCTCATTCACCTACCTTGTGGTGAAGAGAAATGTGTTGAACCTTCTAGGTCTCTTTTAAGTTTTTCATCACAATACAAACACCCTATTTCATTAAATATCTAAGCAATTCTGAATTAAGTGCATACCCTTCATGTTATTCTATTTATTTATCACAGTATCAGACTTGTTTTTTTTTTTTTTTTTTTTTTGAGACAGAGTCTTGCTCTGTCACCCAGGCTGGAGTGCAGTGGCGTGATCTTGGCTCACTGTAACCTCTGCCTCCCAGATTCAAGCGATTCTCCTGCCTCAACCTCCCGAGTGGCTGGTATTACAGGAGTGTGCCACCATGCCCAGCTAATTTTCATAATTTTAGTAGAGATGGGGTTTCACCATGTTGGTCAGGCTGGTCTCGAACTCCTGACCTTGTGATGCGCCCACCTCAGCCTCCAAACGTACTGGGATTACAGGCGTGAGCCACTGTGCCCAGCCTAAGCTTGTTTCTTTGGCAGCAATGTTTGCAATTACCTATGTTTGATCTAATTCATTATAATCTAATGACTTTTTCTCAATGAAAGTGTAATTCAATGTTTATAGCTGGCCAATTATCTGTGAAGCATGATGCAAATGGAAACAAGGATCCGTTTGGTTTTTGCCCTGATTTCAAGTCACATACTGTTAGTGACAGAGACATGGGATACAATTATGAAAAAAACTATGATACAAGTTGAGTTATGATAAGTAATGTTATTGAAACACAGTTCCTTAGAAGCAGAGAAGGAAGAAATTAATTTTGGCAAGTGGAGTGAGGAAGAAAATAGTATTTATAGTAGATGTTGGTGAATGGGTAGGATCTAGGGTGAAAAATAAAACTGGAGATGTCTTTCAGAGCAAAACAAAAATAAAGAAACAAAAACAAAGAATGTTTTTGAGTGTGCTAGGACTTGAGTGCCGTGCCCCCATTTTAACTGGGAAGGCGATAAAGAGGTGTGCTTGGCTACATGTATTTGAGCAGATTACAAACCATCCTGTTAACACTGTTGAATTGTCTTCTCTTAACTTGCAATCATTTCTTCTAGCTTACTGATGGCATTCTGAATTCTAATGATAGCCTCTACATTCTTGATAGAGCAGGAGCACTGTCATCTTGGACAAACACCGCCACTTTAAATTCCAGCTCCCTTTCTAGCTTTTCTAAGCTTAGTGTTATTTGTAAACTTAATGAACATACTTTCAAAGCGATTATCCAGTAATTTCATTTCTCTTATGTTTGGCAAAGTCTAATTAATTATACATTATGGGTTTTACTTGCAGTAAAAATAAAATATTTCATTATGCACCATTTTGTACTTCTGTGCAGCTTTCATTTTTTAAATAATAAAACTTTTATGGTCTCTTTTCCTCCTGCTGTTTATTAGCTTTATGTGACCCTGTTTGCCTCAATGGTGGTTCGTGTAATAAGCCAAACACTTGCCTCTGTCCAAATGGATTCTTTGGTGAACAGTGTCAGAATGGTAATTAATCTTTCTTTGTATGTAAAAAGGGCAAATGGAAAGTTAGACATCAACAGAGCTCTGAGTAAACATGAGACAAGTTTCAAAGGGAAAGATGCAGTTTTCCCCCAGAATTCTTGTAATGTTTCAAGTATGCCCACCAAATTACTAGCTTACAAAACTATATAAAAGTTATTATGTAAAATGGTTATATTTACTCAAAATATTGACGCTCATACCTTGGCACCTCTCTGTGCAGTTTTGTAGTACCAAGGTGTGAAACAAATAAGCAAAGTCCTCTTGTAGTCTATTATAATGAAATTGTGTCATTTCTGTGATACAGCAAAAATGTTTGATTTATAGTCAATCTACTGTCCACTATTATCCCATAATCTCTTTTCACCTTAGTTTCATTAAACATTTATGAAGAATCACCTACGCACAGCACTATGCAAGAAGATACAGAGACATAAAAATGCATTGTTTTTCTCTTTCACGACTTATTATTTTAACACTTTCCCTCATATAGTTAATGTTACAGGTTATTTTCAGAATAATGGGGATGTTTTGAGGGTATGAATTAATGTCAACCAATAATATGTAATGTGTATTTTCTGCATCTTCATATTTTCGAGTTTATAAAAAATATAGAGTAGATTTTTACTATAGAACATGTCAGAGTATTTCCATAATTTAATTCCTAAAATTCAGATGTTCCTTGCCACAATGCACTTTGATTTGCAATTCTATTTATTTTATTTTGGATGTTGGCTAGGATTCTTAGGATGGAAATAAAGCAGAAAAGAAGCCATCACACTAACACAGGATATACGGGCGTAGCAAATCAGTTCCTGTAATTCATATTCTTTTGAAGAAGCAGTTGGAGAAACAGAAATAAGTGAAGACTAAGTTAAGGGAAATCTTGAAAACTAGAAGACTATGGCTAAATCCATGCCAAAGAGTTATATATGTAGTTTTGAATGGAGAATGTAAGGAAGGAAATGAAAACTTTACATCTTTCATGCTACTTGAAGTAGATGTAAGATATAGTAAGAAAATTTGTCTAAAATGTATATGCCAGTTGTATAAGTGGATAAAAGAAGAAATCTCTCAATTATCAAACTGAATTAAAAATTATCTGTTGAACATATTCCATGATTTAAGGGCCAGAAAACAGATTATCATTGTGTGAAGAGAGTAGGTTTTACAATTAGCTTGCCTCCACGACTTTCTTGCTGATATGGAAATTTACTTAAAGGCTCCATGGCTCAGACTTCCTGGCTTTCAAGTATGATCTAGACAGTTGCTATGACATGTAATTCTTATTAGATCTCATCTTCTTGTGAGCCTAAATGGTGGGAAGGGAAGATGGCACACACATTGAAAGTGATTGAATAAAATTAGGTGGAATATAAAGTCATATGAAAAACATATACTGTGTGCACTATAGAATTTTAAAAAAGGAAGATAGAAATTGAGCTAGAAACATCACAAAACAGTTGAACTACTAAACTAGTGAGCAAGGCTTAGGATGTATGGCCGGAGAGATGTTTAAATACACCTTCCAATTTGCTTCACCTCTTGGATTTCACATGGAGAGTGAATCCAATTACTTAGCCCACTTTAGGGTTTGGTGACAGAATGAGGCCTATAGATCTCATAAATAAATGTGGAGGGTGGATTTTCTCATAAACCTCCTTTTCCTAATGTGGGATAATGGGTAGACACGGCCAGGCTTAAATTGTATGCCCTTTGTATGTATTATTTTAATTATATATACTTTTTTGCATAAATAATTTATTTCTACACTCAAGTTTTTGTGGATAATTAATTACAGCAAGATTACCCATCATAAACAATTTGTGGAGCTTTTTTAACTTTTAAATTCCTAACCACAGGCATTTCCTATGGAGTTTTCATAGTAGAAAGAATATATGTTTTCTAATAAATAATAATCTTAAATTGTATGAAGGATAGGGAGTGGAAAATGTAAGAACATTTCTTTAGCAATAAAAAGTATCAATAAAATGTCAGAGAAATAACAGTAGACTCAAACATGAGCCAAAAAAAGTTCAACCTAAAACACTGGAAACTGTTTGCTAAAAACTTGCAGTTATATTGTTACTATGAAGATCTATATTATTTCCATTCAAAAATCTATTTGAAAACAGTAGAATTTTTCTTACAGTTTTTGGAAATAAAGAAAGCAACTATTAATTCAAACTGGGAGTCAGTCCACACTAGTCTTATTAATACCAGTTAATTTGAAATTTATTTTTAAAATACAAACTAACATTTATTTACTTATTATTTAGGAAGAAATTAAATTTTAAATTTTCTAGACAGGTTTTCCTGTGTATTACTTAAAAGAAATGCCTGCATTTAATTTTCATGCCTGGAAGAAACATGAAGTAATCATAACCCTCTCATAAAATTAATACATATTAACCTCTGCATTTCATAAAACAGAATTAAACACATAGGAGCTACCAGTAAGATATATTCAAAATTATCTAACAAATATTCTGAATAAAGCGAAGGATTTATTGTTAAAAAGATTTTTAGCAAGCATTCACAGGAATAAGTCACATATAAAGCTCTGCCTTCATAATCTCAGTAAGTACTCAAAAGTTAGTTTAAAAATGCTTTCTAAGTGTGTGGAAAAGTGTTGAGATTTGTCTATTTTCCACAAGAACAGGCACATTCTTATTTTGAGCTAAGTTTTGACTTATTTTCTGGGTTTTGTCTAGATCATTCCATGCTTTATTGTATAGTGAAACATAAGTTAAAGTTTATAATATATTCATTGTAATATGAAAGACTCAATTTGTTATGAACACTTAACCAATATATTTCAAATTGTGCTAACCCACTAGCAGCTTATAGATATAAGCATTGCATTTCATGATTTAGAAAGGACAGGTTTAATGAGTGATCTTTTATTTTAATAGCACATTTCTCTGCCTTATGGCCACATTGATGAAAAGCACATGATGCAATGTATCATATGTAATAATTGAATATGTAATATTCACAGATTGCTGCCATGTGTTCTTTTAGCTTTCTGTCACCCTCCCTGTAAGAATGGTGGCCACTGCATGAGAAATAATGTGTGCATCTGTCGTGAAGGATACACTGGTAGGAGATGCCAAAAAAGTAAGACATCACTAAATATATTTGTCAACTACAGGTAAAGCAAAGACAAAACTATTGAATTTAAGGGATGACTTTTCATGCTTTTACCTTAAGGCATCTGTGATCCTATGTGCATGAATGGAGGAAAATGTGTGGGACCGAACACTTGCTCTTGTCCTTCTGGTTGGAGTGGGAAACGATGCAACACACGTAAGAGGAATATTCTTAAAACGCTGAAACTTTCGTCTTTCATGGGAATGTAAAACAGAATTTAAAACAAAGAGCATTTTTTTTTCACTTTTGCTTGCTTGGTCTTTTTAAAATTTTTGCATATTTATTCCTGCTTTAGGAGATACCTTTTTGAAACAGAAAGAGTTTTTATTCTTCTGTACTCATTCTTTCAGGTTAGCAGAAGAGGATATATTGTATTTTTCAGTTTTTCTACTGCACTTGCCAAGATAAATAACAAGATAAATAAGTCCTGAAGTCGGGGTCAGGGAAAGGTTTTAAAAAATTACTGACTTCTTGGCCCCACCTCAAACCATCCAGTTCTGAGTTTTCCAAGAGGAGGTAACAGTGCCACTCAGACTGGTTAGCTCCTGAGGGTGGCCGTCTTTATTCAAATGTTTCATTTTTTCCTTTCTATAAATTATTTTAAATTAGCCACTACTAGAATGTTTTGATCAAAGTGAAAAAATGAGAAACAACATAGATGTCCAGCAATTGGAGAAAAGTTAAATCACGACACAAACAGTAGAACATTTTGCAATTGTTAAGGTCACATTTTCCAAGAATATGTAGTGACATTCAAAAGTGTTCTTGATAAAATATTAGGGAAAAAAATTCTTTAATCACTTACCTGTAACTATTTCTTTTTTTTTTCTTCTAATGAAAAGTTTCGTGGGTTATGGATAGGATTTGACTAGTAATTTAAAATTTTAACTTGTTTATATTTCGATTGGCAGCTATCTGCTTGCAGAAATGTAGAAACGGTGGTGAATGCATTGCTCCCAGCATATGCCATTGTCCTTCCTCCTGGGAAGGAGTGCAGTGTCAAATACGTAAGCCCACAGGATGCTTTTCCTACTATATGTTCTGAATTGGAATCTGTTATAATAATTAAAGTATAGCTATAGGACAAATCCATAGGGGGACAAAAACTCCAACATGCTGATCCTTTTTAAAAAATGATTTTAGAAATAAAACAAAAACTTACTAAATTTTATATCCGTTTAAAAGAAGAAAGTGTAGTAATACATATTAATAGTGTGTGTGACAGAGATAATTTCAAATTGTGGTCTGTGCGTTACCAATAAAGTTTCCCCAGGTGGGTCAAAGAAGGTGTTGATATATAGAAGTTTAAATATTATTTCATATTAGAAGATAAATACATATTTATCATGGATACCTTGGAAAATATGGAAATGTATTAAAAATTAATCACTCTAGGCCAGGCGCGGTGGTTCACGCCTGTAATCCCAACACTTTGGGAGGCCGAGGCAGGCAGATCACGAGGTCAGGAGATTGAGACCATCCTGGCTAACATGGTGAAACCCCGTCTCTACTAAAAATACAAAAAATTAGCCAGGCATGGTGGCGGGCGCCTGTAGTCCCAGCTACTCGGGAGGCTGAGGCAGGAGAATGGCCTGAACCCAGGAGGCAGAGCTGGCAGTGAGCTGAGATTGCGCCACTGCACTCCAGCCTGGGCGACAGAGAGAGACTCTGTCTCAAAAATAAATAAATTAATAAATAATAATTTTTTAAAAAATCACTCTAAATGTCACCATCCAGAATTACTTTCGGTTTCTTTTTTAGAGTTTTAGTATATTTCCATCCAATATTAGTCATGAATTTCTACATAGGTGAAATCTTAAGACATAGAGGAAGATCAAATTTTATGCAATTTTGAAATATTTTGTGGAAACTTGCAATAACATGTTAAAATATCACCTATTATTAACTTAATGGGAAAAACTTGAAATTCCTCAAAATATTTCCAAATGGTTAATAATTATATAATTTAAAAATTGATGGCCAAGTGTATTGTAAACTGAAATTACACAGTTTTATTATGATATGCCTTTTTACTAGAAATAACGTACCCTCCATTTCAATGTCTTATGAACCACACCCTTGTTTCCATGCACCAGAAATTTTGCATGTAATTTTTGTGACTCTTAGACCCTATTTTATTAGTAATTGCTATAGTAATTTATACATTTCTTATCCTAGAAAAATATATCAAAGTACTATCAAGTGCTGGTATTTACAAAAAAAATGTGTGCTCAAATATTGATAATCCAAATTGGAATTTAGATGTGATAAAATGCTAGAAAAAAAGAGTTAGCAACCTTGACTTGGGCTGCTTGTTCTGGAGTAAGCTCTATATGGACCATAAGAGAGAAGGATGAGAAGATGTTAAAAGCACATTAATGAGGAAATATGCTTCAGTGGTTGCAGATTGAGATTGTCTGAGCACAGCCTGAAGCTGTGCACCCTGTTTCTGCATCCTGCAGCATTTTTATGTGAATTAAGAAGTCATCCTACTTCAAATTCTTTATTTCGAACTATTGAGAAACTGTCTTAATATATTGATATTTCTTAAACAAAATATGTTACTACCATCTGTTGGAAAATTGTTGTAACAAAAATTCAAATCTATGATATCTATCATGTGAATGCTGTTTTCTTAGCTGTGGAGCCCTCATGGATTATACAACCTGCCCAATTGTATACAGCAGCCCTGATGAAAAGATACCCTGTCAATGTTGCATTTATCTTAAAGGACATATTATTCTTGAATGTGTAAGCTTCAAGTATGTGATATTGAAGCAGTATTTCTCCTGTAAAAATAACTAGTATATATAATTTTATGGTATGCTCATTTTCACTCAATATTACTTGAAAGAATTTATGTCGTTTAAAAACAAAATTTAAAGCAATATATTAAGTTCCATAATTTAAATACTACAAAAATTCCTTTTACCTCCCCACTTATGTTTAACATTTTAGTTATTTACAAGTTATTATTAAGCATTATAAGTATTTTCTTTCTACAGGTAGATGATAACTAGATTGAGATATTGAGATAATTGAGATAGATGTAGGTATTTTTAATTGCCTTGGGAAAGACTTCAAGGAAGAAATGTATGATATAGACAGTATGAGTATCTTTCAGAAATTTTCAGTGGAGTTATTTCACATTAAACTTCCAATGATAGTATAAAAATTGTCAAATTCTCCATACACTACCCGGTACTGGATTGTCTCTTTTAAATTTTTGCTTAATGTTAAAAAACAGATGATAGATGCTATCTTCTGTTAATGCCTTGAGCTCCTCTAGAAAAAAAAAGATATATTTCAAATATTTTAAAATGTCGTCAATGAAATTTTTGCTTCTTTTAATAATATCTTTATAGAATTCCTAAAGTGTTGTTTGAGTTTTGGGTGCTTTGTTTTTGATGTGTACGTGTGCTCTGAAAGATGGGAGTGCATAGAATAGATCCATTCATTGATGGTTCGTTAATAGATTCTTATGACTGCATTAGTGTCCAATCACCATATAGCCTCAGACCACTAGGATAGAATATGTCACAAGCATTTCATGTCAAAAGATGGTCATTCTAAAAATTTGTGTATTGCAGCAATTTGCAACCCAAAATGTCTTTATGGGGGCAGATGCATATTTCCCAATGTGTGTTCCTGCCGCACTGAATACTCTGGAGTCACATGTGAGAAGAAAATACAGGTATTTCAAAGTTTAAAGAGAAAATAAATTTTAGACATTGACATTTGCATATCTCTTCTACTTAGTAATTGCTACTAACCGATGTTTTATTTTCTCTTATTTCCAAAATAAAAAATAAAAGCATTTATTTGCCTCTAAAATTAAAAATTGTATCATTTTTGTGTTATGGTAGAGTTATTATATAAAACTTTGATGTGTTTTTAAGGAATTTCAATGTATAGATATAACTGTCCAATGTAATGCAGTATTTCATGACACTGTAGTTGAGACAGCAAATATTCCACAAAATAGATTCAAGACACTTATCTGTAGAGCCATTGCTATAAAACACATATTTAAAAAGTTTCTGCAATCCTATTTCTTCACAGAAGATTAAACTGCATTTTGTTTGGTCTCTAATCTTAGATTTCCAAATATCAATAGCCGAAATATTATTTCAGTCCTAATTCCTATACACACAAGGGTAGCTCTAATAATCTCTCTCCCTCTCATATAAACACACAGACACACAAATGCAGCAAACTTCTCAAAAATGTCTTAAAGTTAATCTGTAGGAGTTGTAATTTTAAAAGTCATTATATGCTATTTAGTACTTCAAAATGCCCCAGGGTCATGAATATAAAAGCATGCTGGAGTACTAGAATTTGACAACTGATTAGAAATTTTCTTCTTGAAGCTCGATATGGATCAATCTGGCTTGGAGACAAAATGGATATATGTATAGTTTTCTCCGAGCACTGGTGTCATCCTGTAGGATTGGCTCCCATTATGAAAATAACCAGACCGTAATAGGGCTATGGTCTGAAAACTGGAAAGCAAAAGTTATTGAGTACTTATTTGATTAAATATTGTTTGAGAAAAATAAAAATAAAAACTTCAGCTTCCTTGGGTTTGAAGGCAGCCTAAATACATATTATTTGATTTGATTTGATGTGAGATTTTTATGGCACAGAAAACCCTAGGACCTCTAAAGCTTTTTAACTCCACTTTGACAGTACTAAACTAGTGGCTGCTCTATATTCTATTTTATGTATGTATTTGCCATCTGAATCCTTCCTTATATGATCAATAGCAAATCATCTTTATCCCCATTAATGTTGCTTCTGAGAATGCATTTGAAATCACACTAAGGGGAAAAAATGCCAGAAGGCCATGGGGAAGGAAAAGGGGAGAAAAGGCTAAACATGAGCACAATATGTCCTGTTCTACTGTAACCTGCTCTCCCCAGCTTCTAACTTCAATCTCATTCTAGCTTTATTCTGTTGATCACTGGTGTCATTTTTTTTTTCACTTGCTCTTGATATTTCTTTGGCTCCCACACATAGGTTAAAACGTAAATTTCTCTTTAGTGGGGAAAAAAGCAACCACCATCCACGGGTATCCACAGAACCTCCAACTCCATCCTTTGCTCCCGTCTTCCCTACCTTCCCCCAAGGAGGGTTCCGGCTGGCTAACTACCTCCTGGCTCTTCCGCAGGCAACCTGAGATAGTGGATAAAAAAAGAAATGGAGCTTACTGATTGGATTGCTAGAATTTCAATGAAAAAGAATTACTGGCTAGAGACAAGAAACACAGAGAAAGGGAAAATAAGCAAAGAAAGAAAAAGGTGCTAAAGAGGGTGGGTTGATAAAAGGCTTTGGGAAGCATCATAACCTCCTGCTTGTGGCTCAGTGCACTCACTCTGAGCCTGCCACTTAATTTGCTCTGTGATTTCAGTCAAGTTTAATCCCCTGAGTCTCAGTTTTCTCATCTGCAGTATGGCATTAATAGTAGCACCTAATCATAGGCTTATTGTAAGGATTAAATATGTTAATATATGTGAAATACCTAGAATGGTGCCTGGGACATAGCAAGCACTATGTAAGAGTTTGTAACTAATTACATCGAATAGAGGAATAGAAAGAGGTGGAGAAAGAAAAGGATGGGCCATGCATTATGAGTATCAATGGTTTTTTCTTGAGGGATATTAAAACATTAATTCGTTTTATTGGGCATGGATGTTTCTAAGGTGTAACATTTTGCCAAGATGGAGTCACCTAGTATGCAAGCTCCATTTGATTATGACTGCTTGGACCTTAAATATAATCTTGATTAGATTTCAATTTTGTGAAAACAGTATTGAACCTAGTGGCAAACAGAACCAAAAGAGCTTTATGTATCATGTCAGAGGGAAGGAGGCAACAAATAATGAGTATGCATGAAATGATTTTATACTATTCATTGAAACACAATTTCCTTCTTCCTACTACAGATAAGACACCATTGAGTAGCATCAAGTATATGAATTACAAGCCTGTATCTTAAGAATGGAAATGTTTTGTTCAGAAAAAGTTGGAGATAACTTGAAGTTTATTTGAACATCATTCAAAAATATCTTAAAGACTGAAGAAATTAATAAAATACATAATGATCTCAGTTGTAATCATTAGAGAAAAGCAAAGAAGAAATTCAGGTAATCTAAATTTGATGTTGAGATGGGATAGGATATTTACATGTTAAGATGATGTATCTGATATTCCATCCATTCACAATATTTAATAAACTGAGTATTTTCTTAGCCCTGTGACTACGTCTGCATCATTAGTAGTCAGTCAACCTAATGGAAACCACTTGATATCATCCTGATAGATGATGTTTAATTCAGAACAAGGGGCTCACAGGACTATTTGAGGGATGGGGAATGAGGGTTGGGAGCTAAAGATTAGGAAAGCCACTGCTGATCAGAGTGGGTAATAATGAAGATGTTAGGCCAAAGCTCCAAGCAGATTCTTTTCAGAGGCTTTCCTGGAACTGCTACAATACTTGAGAATCTTTAAAAACTACCACCAACTGTCTCAGGCAAAGTGGATTATTCTCAAATTTTTGCTAGAAAGCCACTGTGAATTTCATCTTTCCAAGCATCAAGCTGCAAACACCTCTGAAAAGACTAACGACTTCCTCTTCATTTCCAGCTTCCTACTCTCCAGCAAATTTTTCTTATTGGCAAACTGTGACCCAGAACCACACAGACAAGTGGATTCTGAAAAATGTAATTCCCAGCCTTACAAAAAAGTGGCAGTGGTGTCCTGGGCCCAAAAGTGAGAAAACAGACACCAGACATGCTAAAAGGTCTGCATCTGATTGCTCTTTCATCTTTCCATTTTTTTCTGTACCATGATCCATTTTGGTATATGAATCGAGAGAGATGATCACAAAACCAAATCCTTCTAAAGATATCACAAGAAAAGAGTATGTGGATGCTTAATAAAAGCAAAGTTAAATTACAATACATGAATAGTTGGGGAAGTGAGTAACAACAACAGGGAATACACATATAATTAAAGGATTTGCCTCAGAGATGCAAATAATTGCAAGTTACCTGGGGTTATAAAGTTTCCTTTTTCCTGCTATCTCATATTTTGCCTCAAACATTTCATTTGACTTTCAGAAAACATGTTATTTTAATTTGAACATGACCATCTTAAATCATATACATTTACAAAGGCTCATTTTTCTTTTCTTTTAAGTAGAAAGTTTGAGCATTCCTAAGCCATATCTAACGTGTAAGATAAAGTAAGACACGATCAGAATAAAAGTATTGCTACATTTGCTAAGGACCCTTTAAGTATTAACATCCAATGTCAGAATTAAAGAGTTTTTGATTTATCATTTTGTATTTACTAAAAGGCAGTTTTAATAGATTGCTTAGGAGACCATAATATGAACCAAAAATAAAACTCAAAGCCTCCCAACCAATGGAAAGAACTCTTCTCAAGTAATGGAATTCCAAAGTAAACCTGAAACATGGGTTCAGGACGTCGTGGGAATGGATGGTCAGACGTGCCTCGTTATACCCTCATCCCTTTGGAGTTCAGGCACAACCCGCCAGCGTTAACATCAAAACAGAGACCTTAAAAATAACAAAGCAGATTTTTTGTAGCAATAAGATACCAACATGACAGATAACAGGCCCTGAAATAAAGTATTTTACCCTAAAATGTATTTTTTGACATATTTTGAAATGTCCCTGCAAAGCTATCTCTTTTGGGGAAAATCTACATTCTATAGAGAATCCCACCCCTTTCCGGGTTTTTTCCCTAATCCAGGAGAGAATAAACTAAGAGTTTGACACCTTTTTAAGCCTAATAAGAAACATTTGCAATCTCATCTCTCTGAAGCCTCCTACCTGGAAGCCTCATCTGCGTAATAAGAACCCCTTGGTCTCCACAACCCCTTATTTTAACCCACACACCCCCTTCTGTTGATTCCGGGTCTTTAGATAAACTCTTTCAACCAATTGCCAATCAGAAAATTCTTGAATCCACCTATTATGTCTCCCTAAAATATATAAAACCCAGCTGTAGCCTGACCTCCTTGGGCACATGTTCTCAGCATCTCCTGGGGCCATGTCACAGGCCATGATGACTCATATTTTGCTCTGAATAAATCTCTTCAAATATTTTACACAGTTTGATTCTTTTCATCAACAATAACATACTTCGCTATGTTTTATATTACCAGAAATTCAGAAATACAAATGCAAAATAAATGTTAACACTTAGTGTATACTTAAATTCTTCGGCTTTTGTGAAAATAAGAGTATTGTACTAATATTCTTCAGCTTTTGTGAAAATAGGAGTATTGTAGATAAAAGTGAATGCTTTTTAAATTTCGTAATTAGAATTAAAATACTATGAAAATAGATACATTTTTATATCAGTTTGACAACTTTGCTCAGGATACAATTGTATGAGTAGAAAACAAATTCAGTTTCTTCCTAGTATACTCTCACAACACAACAATCAACACAGAAGGCTTCTGTGACCTCTGGTCAGCAAGAAGTTTGTAGGGGAGTTCTCCCCAATAATTAACCAATTCTGCAGCAGACACTAGCTGGATGTCCTCTTAATTCAATGCAGTTCTGACACTATCTACCTGTAGTAGCATCAGATGCCACAGGTTGAGGGCTCCGTCCCCAATTCCTCAGACTTCCCACCTTCAGATGCCAGTCACATGCCCGAGGTTGTTTTACCTGTGCTTCTGACTGCCAGCTATAAATAGGAGTTCCCACAATCTCCTCCTCTCAGGTTTGATTAGTTTGCTAGAATGGCTCACAGAACACAGTGAAACACATTTACTGCTTTATTATAAAGGATGTTACAAAAGACACAGGTGAAGAGATGTGTTGGGCAAAGCATGTGGGAAGGGGTGCAGAGCTTCCACGCCCTCTCTGGACTCCTCCAGGAACCTCTGTGTATTCAGCTATCTGAAAGCTCATCTGAACTTTGTCCTTGGGCTTTTATGGTGACTTCATTACATAGGCATGAGTGATTGAATCATTGTCCATTGGTGATTGACTTAACCTTCAGCTTCTCTCCAGGAGTCCCCAGCCATCGGTCAACTCATTAGCATACAAAAAGACACTTACCACTTTGGAGATTATAAGGATTTTAGGAGCTATATATCAGGAATGGGATGAAGACCAAATATATATTTCACAATGTCACAACCACATAGCAATTTTATCAATAGCAATTTTATCAATAGTCTTATTAAATTGATTTTCAAGATAAACTTTTTATGGTTTAAAAGTTATAATCGCTTAAAGACTTATTCTGAGATACCTAAACTAATGCAGTCATGCACCACATAATGAATGACGTTTCAGCTAATCACAGAATATATATATATATGTATGATGGTGGTCCCCTGAGACTATATTACAATATTTTTCTGTACCTTTTCTATGTTTAGATCTACAAATACTTACCATTGTGCTACAATTACCTACAGTATTCAAATACAGTAACATGTTGTAAAGATTTGTAGCCTAGGAGCAGTAGGCTATACCATACAGCATATGTGTAGTAGGCTATACTACCTAAGTTTGTGTAAGTACATTCTACAGTGTTAGTACAAATACAGAATTGCCTTATCATGCATTTCTCAGAACATATACCCTTCATTAAGTGACGCATGAATGTACACTAAATTTTTCATAAACATTGTTTAGATCTACGTCAAGAATCTCAATAAAATTAAAATATTAATCAATACACTATCCATTTATAATAGATTTAATGGACCTGCATATGTTAATAATGAAGAAATGCTGTGGTTTACAAATTTTATGTAAAATCATCCTTATGAAAGCTAATGACTCATGGAAATGAAAGTAATGTTTAGAATATAATGCGAGTTTAGAAAAGCAAGTAATATGATAAATTTATGGCAAAAGATTTAATTTTTGGCTTATATCTTGATGATATTTTGCAACAACTAATTTCAACGTATTTTATTCACAGTCTATTTGGAAAATACTTTGAAAATAGTGAGTGTTTAAAAATTAAGCAAAAGTAATTGAAAATACGTAACTTTCAATATTTATCTTATAATTTTATTTATTTATTTATTAGGAATGAGGTCTTGCTATGTTGCCCAGGCTAGAGTGTAGTGTTTATTCTTGCTGAATTCTTATAAAGAATTCAGACTATAGACTTTGCTTAGTTAATATGTTTGACTGTTTTGTGCTTATTCTTGCTAACATTGAAATGAAATACATGATAAAATTTAAAATTTCAGGTTAAAACTATTTGGGGATATTTGGAACCCATAATGACAATATAGACATATTGTATGTATTTTTTCAATTTTATAAAAAATCCACCACAATTATGTAATTTTTGATGGACTTACATGCTGGGGTTTAAACCAAGCATATTTATATTCATCAAATTAATATAGTATTTTGCCTTTATGCCACTTAATAATTTTTTTGTGACTTATAATATGCATGCCAGTTACTTCTAAAATGAGCTGCAGTGGCCTAAATATTAAACAACATGTTAAATAGGAGGAGAAATACAATACAGAAAACCTGAAAGAAGATATACTGTACTGCATATCTAAAATGTTATTAACTATAAATAAGAAGTAAATAATAAACAACATTATAAGATTCTGTTTTTTTAAAAAAGAGGAGAATGGCTATTTGTTCACAGAAAGCAAAGTAGGGAATCTAAGTGGAGCTTGTTAATCAATGTTTATATAGTGGATATTGGGTAGCACTGCCGCTGATGCTTCCTCAATCACCGTTTGCAAAAGATACTGAAAATATCAACTCAATTCCTGTTTGTAGAAAGAAAAGTCTGGCAAAATTCCTAAAGATTGCATAAGTCAGGTGGTTGCAGTTTTCTGTATCTATAATCTCAGCTACTTGGGAGGCTGAGGCAAGAGGATCACTTGAGTCTCTGAATACTGTGAATCGCTACTGCATTCTAGCCTGGGCAACGTAGACCCCATCTCTTAAAAAAAATTGCTTAAGTCTTAATACATTTTCCTTCTCTGATGAAGTAGATATTTGTAAACAGCAGTAAAGCAAGTGTGCTAAAATCACTAATATTTAATGTTGAATAAGAAGACTTATTCCCAGGTGACTTATATTTTTCACCTAACTCAGCCCTTAATTTCAGAAAACAGGCTGCACAAACTGACCTGTTGACAATTCTTGTCAAGTTTATTTCCCCCAGTTTTCAATTTGCCTCACAAGGACCTTATCACACAACACTTAAACTCTTTGATGAT